CAAAAGGAGGGCTATGAGGCTGCTCAGGGATACAGAGTGAAAGTACAAGAGGCAACAATCACCAGCTGCTGTAAAGGAAATAAAAATCGAATATAGGGTGCAAATTCCTCAAAACGAGCAGTTAAGCAGTGGAAGAGGTTTCCCAGGGAGATCAAGGAATCTCCATGCCTGGAGGTTCTCAGAACTCAGCCAGGTAAATCCTTGGGCAGCCTGGTCATGCTTTGAAATTGGCCGTGCTTGGACCAGGAGGTTGGGATAGGCTTCCAACTTGATCTTTTCTGTGATTTTATCATGCTAAATATTCTGCATTTATCTAATATTTCCATAATTTTAGAAGAGTGGGTGTAGGCTGAAATAGGAGACAATTATTGTTGTTTGGGGAGTGTGGTTATTTTTCATAAATTCTTTTTTTTTTTCAGTCTCTGCTACAGCAAAATTTCTTCAGATCAACTTTAGGGTATAGCAGAAACTTACCTTTTGTGATTTATTTTAATCTTGTGTCAGCAACCACTTAGATTGCCACAGCAGCAATGCTGATAGTAATATCTTTTAAACTTTTATGCTCTGAATGTGCCAGTAATATTTGAAGGTAAATCCAATTCCACTTCTAACCTATGTTTGTAAACAAACCAGCTTTGAAAATTGTGCATGTCTAACTCCTTTTGAGGTCAACTTGCTAAGTTTTCAAAAGCCACTTCCTAAGTGTGGAGGGAAGGAAAAAAATACGGAGTTTTTTTAAACCTATTTGTGTGAAATTCTTGTTTTAGTGGGATGTAAATCAATTCTGAGTACAGATTTGAGTACAGCCAAATTTGAAGAGCATCAGTTTCAACTTCCACTGTCAGAGCAGCTGCCACCCCACGAAAAATCTGTTGGGAGCTTTGAGACTGTGTGTAGTTCTTGTGATGAATGGGCTACTTTCAGGACCAAACCAGTCTCCTAAATCCCCAGAAAAGTCACAAGTGCAGTTCATGTGAATAAATGATACCAAGCTATACAGAGTTTTAAATATGTTTCATAAGCTACAAAACTTAAAGGAAAATTTTACATGGAGTTTATTAATTGCTTTCTGTCTGCTTGTAGTTCATGTACCAAGATCTAACTAAATTCTGAAAGAAGATAAGAACAAAGAAACTGGGAGAACATGTAGCTACTGTAAAGTAGCAGTCATTAGCAGCAGTGAATCGGAGTCCTCCTTGAGTCTGAGTTCCAGTGAAGCCAGAAATTTTATTTAGTGACTAATTTGGCCAAGGCTTGGAAAAAAAGTTGAATAAGAATACTGGAAATATTTAGCTTGTCATTTTAAATTGTAAAGCTGACTAAAGCTTGGGCTTTTCATCCAGTGAAATAACTAATTCCTAGCAATTTATAATGCTGTATACTAAAATAATTTTGTACTCTGTGGGCTGTGAGAAGTACCCTTAAAGTGGAAGCAAATTGTATTTGGAGTGTGAAGGGCTATAAAGAAAGTCCAAGTGGTATTTTGAACATGCACTGTGAAGAGCTGCAGTGAGGAGCAGAGTCAAGTCCACAGTTCTTACCTAGGTTTGGTACAGAGGCTTAGCCTGTGCTCCAAGAGATCAAGATTTTTTGCCACGTTGCTTATTTTGGTTAATTGTTTGTTTAGTTTTATATTAATTTTCCTTAGAGTTTCTGGAATTGCTTACTGGGTGGCCTGGGTGGTCTCTGTGTAGCTGAAGTGCCCTGTAGCATTACAGTGTCACAGCAGGGTCTGCACCTCATCTGCTGCTGAAGCCAAGGAAAGCTGTGAGCATTTAAGGTTACAGTCTTCAGCATGCAACAGGCTGGTCTGCCCGTAGCAGCAAAGTAGTCTGGCTGGGTCAGAAACGACAACCACAGCAGAGCTCAAGTCTCGTTCAGTTCCCAGAGCACAGAAACAAAAACGTCTAAAAGAAGGTCCCCGGATTCCAGTTCTTGCAAACTGGGGTCTTTCGTCCATGGTTTTGTTTTCCAGTCGATGGGTGGGAACAACTTGCAAGTGTGCTCTTTTTTGGTTTGTTTTATCATTCTTGTTCAAGCAATCTTAATCCAAATATATGTATTAATTAGCACACAGAATATCAAATCAAATGTCAGAACACTCTAGTTCTGCTCTTGGCTCTGCCTCTAACCTGTTAAAACATCTCTGTCTCTCCACCTGTGATAACTTCTTCAACCACTGACTTTTTTTTTACAGTAAAAAACAGAATGCAGCTATCATATCTCATGATGTGTTTGCACAGTGCCTGGTGGAGTGGAATCCAGACCTCAGCTGGAGGTGCCAAGGGCTAACCCCGTATAAATAATTGACTACATGCAACGTTTGGCTCTGAATGTTTTAATATTAACTGCTGACTGAACACTGTACTACATAGTTCTCTTTCTTCATATCCTTCCTTACGGTTGATTTCTTTGTGTTATGTATCTGTTCACCAAATTTTAATATATAGTGTTAAATGAGTAACAAGAAAACCACAGAGAAGCTGAAATGTTGCTTATGTTGCAGTAAGTACATCTCATGATCTCACAGTGTTGCAACTCTGTCCTCCCATACCCCCTCCTTTCCCATCCTGTGTATGGTGTCATCACACAAGCTCCTAGGGGCAGGGATCAGTCAATTTTATATGCCTGTAAAGCATCATGCACACCT